GGGGAGAGAAAAATCAGTCATAAACAAGATTACCAGAGCAAGAGAGAAAAATAACAGAAAAAAATCTTGTAGTGCCTCTTAAAATGTCAGCTTCATTTTACAACAGTATAATCTTAGCCCTGTAAGCACCAAGCCAGATTCAGACTCCAGAAGAGCACTCTATTTATTTTTATTATACATGTCCATTGGTGCTTTGCCATGATGCATAGCGTACCACACCTGCAGCTGGTTCACCGCTACTCTGTTTTCAAGTGCTCTGATACCATCAGGGAATAAATCCCAGCAGTGAATTTAGTATACAGATAAAATAATATAAAATAAAAAATAACGATTTCTAGAGGTCTCTTCTCCAGTCTTTGTGGACATAAAAGGGGTATAACCCAAACCTCAAATGCCCAAGTTAGCCATTTAAGCTGCCTCGACATAAAGTGGGGAGACACAAGCTCCTATTACAGGCACAACAAAACATTTTTCTGGAGGCTCTGCTAACCAGCCCGGCTCCTAACATCACCCTCCAGGTTAGATAACCAGAATCAGTGGGAACGCTCTTACAAAGAGCTTGTCAGTACCAAAAGTGTTAAGGCAAAGGAGGATTTAGATGGGGTTCTCACGTGGGATGCCACTTGCAGTGCTCCCCAGAGGCTCTCAGGCATACTCATGCTCACATACCCAACTTCAAGGAAAGAAAAGAAAAAAAAAAAAAAAGAAAATCTTCAGTACCACAGAAAACTGCTGCGTTGGAGAGACTGGCAGGAGATGCTGGGGAGGATAAGAAACTGCTGGATATTGGACTGACTGAGAAGATGGCTGCATTGCCTGAACAGGCTGCAAAATAAACACAGTGAAAGACAAAACTTAAGAGATAGATAACAACAACAACAAACTCTGTTACTGAGAACAAAGATCACAAACACAGCTCTGAAAATACAGGTGACTCATCGCTAGCCCAAATATAAGAGGGCAGGCACTGCAATTTTAGTCTTCATTTTAGCCTTATACCAAACAATTCTTTATTGCAGATTTTTCTGCCTATTTTCATATATTTGATGGCTGTTAGATTAAATAAAACCACAGCTACACCTTCTTATTACTGATGTGAGGCAAAGCCAAATTATGATTCTACATTTAATTTACAGAGATAAAATGGAAGAGCAGCACAGTGTAAGTGTATGTTTGAATTTTGCTGATAATGACTGATTTAACTCCGAGGCAAAGGAATAATGATTTTAAAGCTGCTTTGGCAGAACACAATAGCTAAAAAAAAAATTGACAACGAACAGGCTGCGAATTAACAACAGACAGAGGCCTGTCAGCTTGGAGCAGATGTTTATCTAAGTGAAAGAACAATTTTCTACAGCACTATTACCTTGGAATAGCTTTACTATTCCTTTCATTTTAATCTCTCATTTAACTGGAGTCTTACACAGGTTTGGTACTACCTCCATCTTCTTAAACTGCTAAGACCAAATCAAGAAATAAGAGCCACAAATACATAAGTCCCAGTAAAATCAAAGCAACTTCACTGAATTTAAACATTGTATTTCTGGGTAACCTGGGATGAAACTGTGCGAAATTATAAAGCCACACAAGAACCATAGTAGATCTTGGCTGCTCTGCGAGTAAGCAGGATGTAGGATTCTTGCTTGAGTAGTTTCCTCTGCTGGCTCTGCTCCGGGAGAGCAGGCACACAATCCACAAGATTAAGTTTGAACCAGACCCAAACCCTGCTGCCCATGCCCAGCCAGGTCTGGCCGCACGCCACGGCCAGCCCAGGGGCCAGAGAGCCAACATACCGTGGCACCGTGCCCAAACTACGCTGCTCTTCCCCTCTCCTGCTGTAGCTCCAGAGCTTCCAGCTCAGAGCAGGGTCATGGCCGTAATATGGGGCGCAGGCAGAAGACCCATGGTCTGGGGCAGAGGTGCTCGGAGAGCGGGCTACCCACAGCTCGGGCCTGATATAACCGGACATGGAAGAGTTTGTAGATCCCTGTGTTGTACCTGATTCTTTGACTCAACCCCACTGCTGCTGAAAGGGACAGGGAAAGGTGCCCGGCTCGTTGGAGAGAATTACAGACTGCACTAGTTGGAGAATGAATGTTTCAGCTTTCACTTACGAGATTCTCTGCAAAATAAATTTATGTAGACGTACACCAACTCGCTTAACAGTCCTTTTCAAAATGAAACCATCCTTTAGATGGAATTGAAAAAGGAATCTTCCCTCTTCATCTGTTTCATCCATGTTGAAAATACAGATCATGGGCCCCGTTTGTTTCAAAAGAAAAGAAGAACATCGTGATATTTTGTCTAGCTGTATCCTTCCCTCCTCCCTTCAGGTCATCCTTTGTATCCCTGAAAGCTTCTTCTCTTTTTCCAACGGCCACCACACCTACCTGTGTGACAAGGTGACTTGCCATTTGCTGCTGTGGCTGTTGAACCTGCTGAGGCTGCTGGGATGAAGGCTGCTGCTGAGACTGTCCCACCATCTGGCTCCTCATCGTCTGCTGGCCACTGGGAGGATTGTATATTGCCGGCGTCCCATCAGGATTTACAAACGGTTGACCTGAAACAGAACACCCTGCCTTTGCCGAACACTTTTAAGAACGTACTGTTTTCTCTATGTAATCATACAACCTTGTTTTACCTGATCGCTCTTTAGCTGACCTGCTACACCAGTAAAGTACTCATCACTCTCAATGCCTCATTACAGTATCAGCCATCTAATTTTTTTTTTTTTTTTTTGCAGGCAAGGCAGACAGCAGATATTTGTTTTGGCAGTATGACTTTCCAAGGAATGGGTAGAAGGTTACCATGGCTATAAGATGATTCAGATGCTATGGTTACTTGAAGTCATTCAATGATGAATCAATTAATACTAAAATTGAACTCTGGAGCAAACACTGGAGGTAGAGAATATTCATGTACATGTTATTGCCATGAAATAGCAGTCAAATGTACACAACGACTTCTGACACAATGTAGTTTGTATGGAAGGGAAAAAAAAACAAACCCACCCTTATTACTAATTTATTTACACATTCTAATAACATAGTGCTGTACTTTTGAGAGCTGTGCCCTATGTAACTAGAGGAGGCAGCACTGGAAGTTATCAAGGAAGAAACACTTAAGATGTCTCTGAAACTCTCTTATATACAGGACAAATTCTGTCCAAAGTTCTACTAAGTTGCTGAACACTTTTTGCTTTGGATATTTTAGCTGGGGGAAGTAACGTTGCAAAAGCAACGTTTGTTTTAAAAAAAAAAAAGTTTACCCAAGTCATTGTCTTCCAGACA